TATATTTCTAAAGCTGGGACTTGAATCAAACTGTCAAACTTTTAAAGTTTAATTTACATGGTTGTTCTAATTAAAGTTCCACTTTGAAATGGTCATAAAAGGAAAATTACTGCCGGACCAAATGTTATCAAACTTGGTAATCGTGTAAAGGATGTTATGGGAATTTATTTTCCGTGCGGGAAAAAAAAAAAAAAAGAGTTCAAAAACTCACCAACCAGGGAGGAAATGGCGCTGTATGCAATATTGTTAAATGAAATAAGACATGAAGACATACGTTTAAAATTTGTTTAATCGTTTCTGAAACGTGTTAAAAAGCATGTTTCAATGAAGCGTCTAGCATTTTGCAAAAGGCAAGTTAAATCCTGTTACTACATTTCTCAACATCAACTTTTAGCAAATCGGGAGGAATGTTACGGACATGTCGGTGTATCACATTTTTCATTTCTGCCAAATTGTTTAGATTATCACCATAAACAGTGCTTTTGAGATAACCCCATAGCCAAAAGTCACATAGGTTGAGGTCTGGTGAGAAGTGGGGAAGTGTCGGCTTATAAGACGTTCATTCGTGAAATGTTGCCTAAGTAACTGTGCGACACATGTGAGGTGGGACACAACCCTGCACAAAAATCGTAGTATCTAAAATGCCACAATACTGCAGTTCATGTATCACGGAACATTTTAACATTGACCCTAAGCGAGCTGCAATCACAGTGGTCCAGCTGTCGACTGCTCTTCAGAGAAAAATGGTTGAGTTATGAAACTAGCTGTCATTCCACACCAAACGGTGTGGAATGACTGCTATGCAATCGAATGCACTAGGAGAATGCAATGGAATTAAGTAGATAACACGAGGGATTTCTTTGGCCCAAATCGATTAAAAGCGTTTTGAATCAGTATATTCATGTTTTAGGGCCGAATTCAGGCTTCAAAAATTACAAATTAGCGATCTGTAAGATAAGGATTTCCAGATTGTACGCACTTGTGCGAGTGATTTGCGATCTCACATATTCTAATCGCTTATTCGTGGTTTGCACGGACGAATGAATCCCTTACACGGATGGCGCACTCGACTTTCATCGAATTTAACGCCTTTAAATGGTAATTTGCTTACTTCAAAGTTTCTTAAGGGTATAGAACATATTAAACCCATGTAACAAAAGGTTAAGTTAGATTCCGACCCATATTTCGTTTAACAATATTGCATACAGCGCCATTTTCCCCTGGTGGTGAGGTTTCGAACTTTATTTTTTTCGCGGAAAATAAATTCCCATGACCTCCTTTACACAGATACCAAGTTTGATAACATTTGATCCAGTAGTCCTATAAATGCGAAGAATAAAAACTGTTAAAAATAAAATAAAAAGTAAAAATAAAAATAATGACTTAAATTTGGGTCCTGTGCTGAGACCTAAGGCGAAGAAAAAGACTATTCTCGAAGGAGAAGGTAAATCAATTAAAGATCCATTAATTACCCCCATTAATTTATCAGTGGGGAAAAAGACACACGGTTCAAAAGATGGTTTTTCGAAAGTAGAAGACGGATGTAACTCTTTTTACAAATTGTTCATGACTAAGTCATTTAAAAAGTGAAAACGATTACGAAATGGCGAAAAAAATGCTAATCTGGCCAAAAGCAGGTAGAAATTGGAAAAAAACCAGCAAATTTGTTAGTAAAAAGTCGTAATTCTTCGCGCAAGAGAGCTGACAAGCGAGTTCGAAATGAAATTGGCCCTTAAAATTAAAGAAAGGATATGTTTTTCAAGAAAATAGTGATATTAAACAGTAAATTTAATCAATTAACTGATATTCTAGCCAATTTAAGAGAGAAAAAAATTGATGCAGAATTAAAAAACTATGTTACATTTTTACATTAGATCATTTCAATTAGCCATCCATGGGATTCCATGGGATTTGGGTAAAAAATTTCATATCTCCAATCCAAATAATATAAAATAAAAGGTAAATGCCAGCTATTTTTTAAGGAATTTTTAATGATTGTTTTTGGAATAAGATTGCTTTGTAAGATTTTAATGAAGTAGAGTAATTCTTCTTGGAGAAAGTCAGCGTTATTACATATTCTTTTAATTCTAAGAAACTATTGTATATATTAACGTATGTCTTTTTTTTTTTTTTTCATTATTTAGGTGAATCTGTCCATAAATTCACTGGAGATGTTTAACCACAGATTCACTGGATGACACTGGGAATGTTCTTCCTTGCTTGTCTGAGATGGTCTCTTAATTAATATTAAGGGGAACAGCAATCTTAATTATGTGATGATTTGCAGAGCCATTTTGCGCTTTTGAAGAAGGATATGCATCTAATCGCTTTCGAAATCAGCAGAGTTTTTCTCAAAAATCTACGTCAAACTAAGTTTTTTTTTTTCCCTAATGTTAAGTTTTACAGAGGTATATTTCTGTTGCATTTGATGTTCTGTTATATATACGTTCTCTATTGGTTCTTAAATCCAGCATTGTTGATAAATCAACAAAATTGATTTCCTTTACAAATACTTATTAAAGACGTAAAGACGATTAGGGTATTACATATTGTTGAAAAGTTATGTATTTAAATGATAGCACTTTTTATACATTGTTCAACGCTTTGTATTTTATAAGTTATTAAATTATTGTATTTAGGGTATAAGGTTTGGTGCTTTTCTGTGAAATTTAAGTCTCTGGTCACATGTTTGTATATAAGGATTAGTTCTATAGAATTACATAATTCAATTTTGAGCGCAACAACTTTTAAAAAATTTTAATATAACGTAATTAGAACGCGAGATATGAGCACAAACACTCTTAATGGGTTTAAATAGTAACGCCGAAAAACGATTATTGGAGGAGTTAAACAACAAGAATCAGACATTACGCTGATTTTTGTTGTTTGACTTTTCCAATAACTCTTAATGGAGTTATGGCAATTTCTTGCCAACTTGGAAATTTTTTAGAAGTTTTGAGGAAACGCATTTTCGATTTTCTAGGAGTTATTTTTTTCACTAAGTTTCCAGAAGCCCACGCACGCAATATAAATACGGCTTCGAAGACCAAGACAAGTCGGTTGTTATTCAGATCTGAGAGATTACAGTTTAAACAGTTGAAATGCGCTTTAGAGTGAGTGATATTGAGAATTTACGGTATTTCTCATGCGCTAAGCAATATTTACCTAATATGCGCGTTTTCCTCGAGTTATTTACAGCAGCTAATATTTTCTGTGCTTCGTATTTTTTAAATAAATAAATTATCATTTTGTTCTTGCTTGTCTGGAGTGGTTATTTAAAAAGACAGTCAGAAACCCTCAGCCCCCAACAATAGCATATTTATGCCTAACTTATATGTTTAACCATACAATTTTTTAACGCGGTTGAGTACATATTTTTCAAACGATACTTTTAATTTTCTTATAAATAAGTATTATTTAATAAGTTTATAAATAAGTTTTATTTATAACGGATACGACGTCTACATTACAATTTGAAATACATATTTTTTTCATTCACTAAGAAAATCTCCTTTTATTTAAACATTATCATCTTAATATTTATCACCTGTAGTTTGATGGTTGTTCCTTCAGAAATTGTTACTTTTTGATCAAAGCAGTCCTCCAAGATAGATTGAGTAAATTTCAATCCAACGTAAGATCTCGATTGTAGTGAAATAATATGGATCTTTTTAGCTCTGATCTTAATTTCTTTCATCAGTTTAAATGGCTTTTACCGTTATTATTAGTTCATTTATCATCTGTAATAATATAGCATTCATCTCATGGTTATTTTTGGAAAAAAAAGTAATTTCATATTCAAATCGAAATAGAAAATGTAATTCCATAATTTCATATATTTTATTCTCAAAAGAAAGGGGGAATGTATTCAATATTTGCAGAACTATTGGAATGTGTGAGTAAACATAATAAAGTATCGAAGACCAGAAACAGCGTACGCAGGCAGTTTGGTAGTTATGGGAAAGAGAAATTAATGTATAGCATTCATTCACAATGAAAATTATTACCGGTTCCGACGTATATCGATCATGCATTTTTGAGAATATATTTCAGACATTCCTTTCTTGTCTAATAAATCCTGCTGAATCTAAAAGTTAGTATTCATAGATAGAGAACGAGCTTAACTTTCATTGTCCGAATAAAAATAAAAGCCAACATGAAGAATTTCAGATTCAACAGAAGCTGAAACTGAAATGCATACCAAATTATTATTAATTGTAGGAATTTTTTTTAATATGGTATTCTTTAAAATAAAAAGGTTCAAATAATTCTCATAATTTACACCATGGGATAAGGATTTCTTTCACCCTAATAAGGGGTTCCAGTGATGAGGAAAAGTAATCAGTCAGTAGTTATGAAATAATGTAAGAAAAATAACATAATTGTTCTTTTGTAGAAATAAATCAATAATGCTTTCAATTTAAGGTCGTAGTTTAAGTTAAGAAGTACGTGCCAATAATTCAACTTATTTAACGTTACCATTTTTATAATTATCCCATATGTAACCAAGACAAAAAATGTAACTGCTACAGGTTTAGTGAAGTTATTGAAATTATTTTGTTTACATACAAGTGTTACTTCAAAAATGTAAGGTAATGGGTTCATAACTAAGAAAGTTTGAAGCTGCTAAGTTTGTAAGAGCGCGAATCAAAATATTTAAACCAAAATAGCTCAGAACGTTAATTTTCCAAGGTTCTAAAATATGCAGCAAAAATTTGCAATATGTTTCATGTGTTCCTAATCTTCAATCCACCCATGATATCTTCGAATCCTTAAGTCGAGGGAGCTAGTTCATATCTACTTTATAACAATCAGCAACTAACAGTAACAAACCAATTTTTTAAACATGGAAGTTAGAAATATTGTCAATAGAAGTTATTAAAAGCTCATAGAGCTGGTGCCAACCAAAATCTCGGTCACATATCTAAGCAGTATACGTAATTAAGGCTTCGAATTTTGGGTTTAAGTAATAATATCAATTAAAACTACTGTCTACTTACATTTTTTGGTGCTGAGCCATGTACGATAAGATTGATACACATTTAATTCCAGACTCGAAATCGATATCCTTCTTTTGCTTCAAAAAATAATTTCGTTCACTCAGAGACAAGGAATCCTTTTGGTCATCTTCAAATTCTATGCTAAATGAGATAAGCAAAATTCTTTATCAATCAATGAATCATTAATATGATATATGAATTTTGTTATTTATGTCCACTTAAAATCTATGTTTCATTTCGATATATTTCTAAGCAATACATGTGAGTTTGTTCAATAATCAAAGCAGAGATTTATTGATAAATGTTACATTATATATTTACATGTTATCTGGAATCTAAGGTATACTGAACTGTGAGTTTTCGTTATTGTACCAACAGACTGCCAAACCCTGTTCTATTGCATGTATAAAAATATTTCTGAATTCTGATGATGTTCGAAATTTATTCATGCTATTTGAGGAAACTTTATCTAATCGTGCTCGCTGAGTGAATTACTTTTTATTATTTAACGAAATGAAAAAATCAAATCCAATTTCAGATTTTTTAACAAATATTATATTTTAGTAATTCAAAATCTGACTTACTAAAATAATGTAAGATGTTTTTTGAACTCAAAATTCTACCAAATGTCTCGTCATTTAATTGAGTAAAAATTCAACATTTGACACCGACGTCTTATATTCTCGTTCTCTTCAGTCTAATAAGCATAATATATTTATGATTGTATGCTTATATAGAATGCATACAATGCACTGGTGTATGCTTCCCCAGTTATAGACAATATAGTTATTGTAAACCATTTAAAATCATAAGGCTCATTCATGTTGCTAAAGGTTGTTAAATGTCAGTATTTATAAATTAGTAGCATTCAAAGAGCCAGGACTCGAATTTCTGACCTCTCGAATACGCGTTAAGCGTGCTGACCACTACACTACGAAGGCTTGCTAAGAAGGCGGGAGAAATACCTTATAAGGTATAAATTAGTTTTCTGCAAATGTACGAGGGCTATTTTTAAAGTAAGGGTCCATTTTCGAATACCATACGTTTGAAACTTCGAGTGTGTGAGATAATGAGCACGTGTTCAAGCTCCGGCTATTCTTTGCTCATCGTCCGATGTCACTTGTACTCTAGAGCAGGGTTTATTAAATTTTTTGGTGTGGGGACCCCTAAGATTTACGAAAATTTTGTGTGCCCCCCCCAAAGCCTTGCGGAAATCTGACACACGCGTGAGTGAAACTATCAGTTTCGTCGCTTGTACTATAATATACTATTGCAGTTTTAAGTCATTGACTTTAATTTTTAAAGTAAAATAAACGTTTTTTTACATTAAAAAAAAAAATGCGTCGAACTTTTTTTTTTATATATATTTATTTATTTTATTGTCAATATTGTCTTATCCTTACCTATTTTCAGATACATTACGTAAAAATATTTTGTAATTATAAAATTATTATAATGAGTTCAAGAAATATCAAAAATGATAAATTTTTGGCGACCTCCTACTGCAATTCCCATAGTTTAAGACACTCTGCTTTAGAGCATCAGTCTATACCAGGGGTTCACAAAGTGTGCGCCGCGACGCCCTGGGGCACTGTGAAGTAAGACCAGAGGCGCCGTGAAGCGCCCCTAGCGTTCTGTTACGGAGAAACAAGACGTTGAACGCTCGGCCATAAATTTCATTAATTATAAGTTCATTAATTTTTATCTATTTCTTGAAATAATAGTTCCGTTATTTTTTCTCAATACTTATGTTTCAGTTGTTCATCTAATGCCATTTCTATTATATTTTTAACATTTTTATTTCTCCTTTTAATCTAAAGTAATTCTTGTTCCTCATTTCAATTCTTAAAGCGCCATTTTGTTCTATCACTTAGTTCTTTCAGTCTGAAAATAATTCTGTGTCATTGCGCTAGATTTGTGTTCAATAATTTTCGTACAATTTTCGCACTTGTTAGTTCCTTTTACAAGATTGCTATATTAGTTTTCTCAGCATTCTTGACATTTCTTTTTTTTCGCTTGCGACCGTTAGTATCGAACTCGTTACGTGCGTGAAAGTCGTACAGTATTACACGTCTATCAAAAAATGTCGTCCTTAAAACTTCGCAAAATGAAAATAATTTTATTAAACAAGCAAATCGATAGTAACGATAGTTTCGGTGATAAGCCATCGGCAACTGGCGGAGGAGAAAAGAAGCAAATATTTGTTAACTGCAAGGAGAGTTACTTTGATTTTTTTACTTCAATAGAAATAAAGAACGATGAAAGACAAAGATGACAGTTGTGATGTCCGCTTAAAAAAATCTTTGCACTCGGAACAATACTGGACTCGGAACTGTATGCTCCCAAGTAAGCTAAAGTGATATTTTGGGACCATTCATCCTAACTTGGTCGACAAATCTCTCTCTCTCTCTTTTTTTTTTTTTTTTTTTTTTTTTTTTTTTTTTTTTTTTTTTTTTAGTAAGAAGTTGCAGGTCTCAAGAGATCCTGCTTTGCTTTTATAAATACTGCAACTTCTTACTAAAAAGAGTTCCATAGCTAGGCGCAGTATTCATTGCGTAAGAACTTATTCTAACGTCTGCCCTCGACATGCTAAAGATTATGTAGGAAAAGTTGCGGGAAAATTCATTTCTAAAGTATCTCTAATCCAATAACACTATTATTCAAAGAATTAATGTGTATCTCAAAATCTCAGTGTGTATTTGATAGAGAAAATGATATGAAATAAATTCAGCGTGCAATTAGATGAGGCTACTGACAGTAAAAAGGATGCAAATCATAAGGCGTTATGTACGCTTCTTGGATGGTAATATTATTGTTGAAGATCTTCAGTTTTGTAAGAGTATTATCGGAAGTGCAAAAGCTCTATTTGTTCAAAATTCTTCACAAGTTTATAACGGAAAATTATTTAGTTCGGAAATAGTGCGTCGGTGTATGTACTGGTACTCGATTAGTTTTCGGTTGCTACGATGCACTGCAGACACTAATTTGCAGAAAAACACCACGTGCTCTGTAGACTACAGGGAAGCACTTGCGTCGAAATCGCTGAGTCCTCAAATGAATTTGGCATTGGAATATGTAACAGACGTCGTAATCCACATAAAAACTAGACTTCTGAAAGCTAGAATCTTAAAAACGTTATCCTGAGACATTGAAAGTTTAACACTTATTGCAATTCACGATGGCTTTCGTGTAGCAGTGTCCTGTCTCATGCGTTTGAGTTGCATCAAGAAATTCACACTTTTCTGCATGAGGAAAGTCATGAGATTGCTAAGTATTTTTCCCGAACCAGACATTTTACAGAAACTAGCATATTAGTGTGACATACTTCAGAAACTGTCTTGATTCTGTATCTGCAGAGCAATGTATGCTCATTTTGTAACTTGTAGAAAAGATTTCAGTGTTTAGGAAAAAGCTTCAGCTATGGATAAGGAAACTGAATGACAGTGGTGCTCAAGACTGTTTTTCTACATTGTAAAAATACGCAGCTTCTAATAAAGTCATTGTTCTGCAGGAATTTCTGTCTCTTTTCATGTAACACCTCTCAAATCTCACTAACTGGTTCGCAAAATACTATGCGGAAGATAATTTAGAGAAATTTATATTGATCTAATGTTCTTTTCCTTTTTAAATACACCAGTACTTTTCTTCTTGACACGAAGTTTAACTGAACTCTTTTGAGATAATATTCTGAAATTTGGTGTCTCAAATTTAATGGAGCTTTGAATTCCAATCAAAACTGAGTATCGACTTCAAGTTCTAAAGTTCTAAGGATCCTCATTCTGTTTGCGACATCATATCTAAGCGAAGCTGGGTTTTTAAGCTGCCGCTGTATTAAGGACCAAATACCTCTCGAAAATCATTGTGGAGCAAGGAATGAGAATAGCTGTATCAAGCCTTCTTCCGCGATTTGAAAAATTGTGTGGGGATCAACAAGTTCACTTGTCACATTGCCTTCATAATCTGCCAGTGAAAGTTTCTTTTATTTGTATTTAATGCGTATGTTCTCTTGTCAATTAAAATTGTACTTTGTAGAGACATTGGGTAATTTTTGGAAGCAGAAGATATGAAAAATTAGCAACGCCTTCGCCGGGAATCGAACCATGGACATCTGAAATACCGGCTCAGTGTGCTGACCACTACACCACGAAGGCACGCTAGGAAGGCGGGAGAAATATCTTACATACTCTCCCTTTTAAAGGGCGACTGAGGTTTTTAGGGGACCCAATCGCCAAATTCTGGGTGTGGAGAGTCATCATCCACAAACCTTTTAGTTCGGGCGCCACTATAGAGACATTAGGTATTTTTGGCAAAGCCGGAGAGATGAAAAATTAACAATGCCTTCGCCGGGAATCGAACCACGGACCTCTGAAATACCGACTCAGTGTGCTGGCCACTACACCACGAAGGCGGGAAATACCTTACAACTTTTTCACTAAAATCTTGCTTTCATTTCTGTGCCTTATTAACGTTGTAGCACAAATATTGCAACTGGGACGCCGAGGAAAAATAACAAAACTGCAGGTGCGCCGCATGAAGAAGTTTGGGAATCCCTGGTCTATACGCGTCGGGGAATGAGATTAAAAAAGCCCATAACGGACTGCGAGAAGCGATCTAAAAACTATCAAACTATCATGGATATCATAACTGGCTATCATCGCTTGCTGTAGAATTCTATGAACAGAATGTAAAAAAAAAAACTGGTTGTTCGTTATGATAAACGTTTAAACCGACAAGAATGTTATGTAGAAAAACAGAAAAAATTAAAAAAAAAAAAAAAAAAAAAAAAAAAAAAAAAAAAAAAAAAAAAAAAGAAAGGGGAAAAAAAAATATTGAATTTTTTTTTATTTGCTTCGTTTTTATTGCAAAAGGGACCTTATTAAAAATAATCCTCGTATTTATATTAACACGCGTGTACTGTTTGTAGCTACACCTTATGTAAATTACCTTGTTTGATCTATTTATTCTTGTTGCACAGCAATTCTGTTACTACTTTAGATTTTGTTTACTTTATTTACTTTAGATTTTGTTGTTTTTGAAAATAACGGAATCTACATTCTTCTTTTTTTTTAGCCCAAAGGGAGGATTTGCCCAAAGTTCATTTTGATTTCATTTTGGCATTTTGCGATGGTTCATTATTAAGTAATTATTAAGTAATGAAGAATCTGCATGAACGTATATATGTTTCTCGAACTGTGGAAAAACAACGGTATCTAAAGCCATCAAATTTTGAATAACGTTGTCTTCCACTCCAATAAAGGCACCTGGAAAGCCAAATTTGGAATTTGTTTTATTATCTATTTCATATTTTGTAAAACTTTAACGATTTTTGATTAACGCACTCAAAGATTTCAAAGCGAAGAATGGCAACACTGCACGGGGAAAAAAAAAAAAAAAAAAAAAAAAAGCATTTTTATCTCCAGGCGCATGAGACTGTCTATCAGAAATTCTAAAGATATGCTCTGCTCGCTTTAAATTATTTTGTGATATTATTGTTGAATTGAATTTTATGGTTTAAGTGCGAAGAACATGATATTTAGTAAATAAAGGGAACACACAAACCGTTAAGTAAACGTTCCTTTGTGAGTATAATTTATAGCGTTTAAATTACACTGCTGGCCACCGTAAATGCAATACCCTGAAGGAAGCACGCAAATAACATGAAATTTACAACACGCATTAGCGGAAGTGAAATATGCAAATGATTAGAATTTCAGCGCAGTAGCACATCACGCGCGCCTGTGGCGCCACTTCAAAGCGATATTTAAGGCTTGGAGTTTTCGACGATTTCAAGTTCGGCAATTGTGTTTTTCTTGTAGATTTTTTCAAAAAAGCGATCAATTATGCCTCGTAGTAAAAAGCGATCATCGTTTGATCAAGTATCCGAGTTCGATAGAGGAAGGATAGTGGACTACCGAGAGTGTGGATTATCTTTCAAGGAAATCGGTAGTCGTGTTGGACGAAACCAAACAACTGTAATGCGGATATGTGACCGTTGTATGGAGGAGAATCAAGAATCACATCAAGAACCATAGCACAGCACATTCAGTCTGTAACTTCGCACTCCTCTAATACATATTGCCGGTACTTTAAACAGCCAGCGCTACAGTCATATTTCAACAGGATAATGCGCGACCACACGTGACACGCATTGTCCAAGGGTTCTTCGTCAATTGCCAGATTGAATTGCTTCTTTGGCCGGCTCACTCTCCGAATCTTTCGCCGATAGAAAACGTGTGGCCCATGGTTGCTGAACGATTGACCCAGATTACATCCCAAGCTGCCACACCAGATCAACTTTGGCAACGTGTGGAAGCTGCTTAGCCTGCTGTATCCCAGGAACACATCCAAAGTCTCTTTGAATCAATGCCGAGGCGTGTGGCAGCGGTGGCGGCTACTCTGGCTACTGATTCTGGAAGTAACCACACTTCACAGAAGTCTATAAATTTAATCATTTGATACTTGGTCAACATGTTATCTACTAAATAAATTTTGTTGTGATATCTCTTGTCTTTCTTGGTATTGCAATTTAGGTGGCCAGCAGTGTATTTTAAAAAAGTATTTCTTACAAATACATAACCTAAAAAGGTATTTCTAAAAATAAAGAGAAAAACGAATAGCAGAGCAAAAATACGATGTTATTAGAATTACAAACTATAGCTTTTTTTTTTTTTTTTTTTTTTTTTTTTTTTTTTTTTTTTTGAACGACAGTATCGCGAAGCATGATCTCCTGATGACGACAACACTCACTGTTGCCAAGAAACTTATCTAAACTATATATTATATTATTATTATTTTATTAACATACTTTAATACTTCCCCTTGTAAAAAAAAAATAATAATAAATTAAAAGAAAAAAAGTCACAAAAGTCCCATCTTATCACAAAGAATTAACAGTCTCGGTTTAAATAAAGGTTTAGTCATTATGTCAGCAACTTGCGCCTCTGTAGGCACCTGCTGCACAATGACTTCCTTTTCTAGAACTTTCTCTCGTATGAAAAAGTGCTTGATATCAATGTGTTTTGTGCGTTGATGAAACTCAGGGTTTTGTGACAGTCTCACTGCAACGGCGTTGTCTACTTGAATTACTGGATTTTCACGTAACTTGGTTACATATTTAACATAAAAAAAAATGTAAAAAATTTTAAAGTATGACATCACAGAACTTTTAAATGTATTCTGCATACATAAAGACTTCCAACTGTTATTGTCAGGTGACATGACAAACTCTAATAACGTTGAACAAATCTGAGTTAAAATAACACTTCGAATAATGGTTACTGGAGGTATTAAGGCAACAAGAATCAGTGTAATATTCATAAATAAATTTGCAGGACTAGTTACGAAGATTTAAATATATAACCTGCTTCTTCAGCTGCATAAGTGCAGATAACGAAAGAAAAGCCTGTTTTCTGGCGATAACAATGATAGGAAGGAAGTCAAGCTAATGGCGCCATCTATTGATAAGAAATGAAAACGACTATGAAATAATTTCTTCAAAAGTTGAGGGTAAAGATGGATTGAAATTGGAATTGTTAACAAGAAATAAAATATTATAATGAATATGTAACGTTTCTACAAAATCTAAATTGCCAACAAAAGATGTTTTTTTGAACAATTTGAATAATAAGGAAAGAATTACAATAGAATACTAAAGCAATGACAACAAAATTGTTAAGACGATAAGAATTGTGTTGTCATTCCTTTCTTTCCATCGATTAGTTATAAAATTGCACGTATTTATAGAAATTCAACTTCACGGTCGTTTCCTCTTTTATCAATAAAAGTAGCAGTTTCACTTTTAAAGACTTCATTCCTGATATGAACTTCTGGGTATATCCAGGACTCCTTACGAGTGGAGTTAATTTACATTGGTCAAACTAAGAGAGCCACGCTAAGGCACATGAAGCATATGTTAGGAAAAAAGAAATACATAAATCTTTTATTGCCCAGCGCTGATAGTCACAAAATTACGTTTTCCCTTTTTCTACAAATTTATGAATATAACGCTGATTCTTGTTGCCTTAATACCTCCAATAAACATTATGCACTTTTATTGTTAAAAAGGAGGAAGAAAGCAACTCACAATTTACTTTTGAGTTAGTTTACATGTATAAGTGTCTTTCTTAACAAAAATTAAACAGTTTACTCAAAATGAGTTTCTGAATATTGTATATTTTCTTCAAAAATAAATCAATAAATAAACAAAAACAAACAAACAAACAAAAAAAATCTGAAAGATGTCAGATTTAAAATTACGTCCAAAGGGTTTCTTTTTTTTTTTTTTTTTTTTTTTTTTTAACATTTTGTCTGCTATCTTTATTTATTAAATATCATGTTCTTCGCACTTAAACCATAAAATTCCGTTCAAGAGCAATATCGCAAAATAGTTTTAAGATGAGCATATCTTTAGAATTTCCCATACAGAGTCTCGGGAGCTGGAGATAAAAATGTTTTTTTCTGTACAACGCTGCCATTGCTCGCTTTGAAATCATTGAGTTTGTCAATCAAAAATTCGTTAAAGTTTCATAAAATATGAAATCGATAATAACACAAATTCCAAATTTCAAATTTGGCCTTCCACATGCCCATAATTGCAGTAGGATTACGTCATTCAAAACTGGATGGCTCTATGTACCGTTGTTTTATCACAATGCGAGAAATATACATACATATACAGATTTTTCATAATTTAATTTCTTCAAATATAATGCAGGACTCTAACATTTGGTGGCAACAGCTTGAAAAGTGAAACGGACATTTATAGTGAACCAATGCAAAATCGCATAACGAAAACAACAGTCCTTCAGGGAGAAAGCCCTTTGGACTAATAAACACTAAAAATATATTTCTTTTGAATTTTGAAATATATTTGATTTTAGGTTCTTTTATTCAATTTACTTTGGATTTAGTTTATAAGAGTAAGAGTTTTTCGCAACAAACTACACAGTTTTTTTTTTTTTTTTTTTGTTTTGAAGATAGATTATACATATATTTCTTTGATTCCTGATATTATTATATTTTTAATAAATAATGCCTACTGTTAATATATAGAAGTATCTTTAAAATTAAATTCTTTTTTAAACAATCCATATTTCGTGTCATTTGGCAAATAAACATTTAGATTTTCTATCGCTTTTCCCCTTATATTATGCTTGGCGATAGCGATTGAGAAAAATGTGTCGTCCTAAACAGTAGCTTTATAAGGTATTTCTCCCACCTTCTTGGCGAACCTTCGTGGTGTAGTGGTTCTGCACGCCGAGCCGGTATTTCAGAAGTCCATGGTTCGATTCCCGGAGAAGGCGGTGCAAAGCTTTTAACTCTCCTGCTTCCAAATAGCCTAGTGTCTCTACAGTGGCGCCCGAACTAAAAGGGGTGTGGATGATGACTCTCCACACCCAAGATTTGGCGATTGAGTTCCCCCCCCCCTTAAAAAAAAAAAAGGTCGCCCCTTAAAAGGGGGAGTATAGAAGGTATTTCTCCCGCCTTCTTAGCGAGCCTTGTGGTGTAGTGGTTCTGCACTACAAATGTTGCGTGATTCAGCTCTTGAAGGATACTGATAATTTTGAAATATTTTCGATTTCTTAATTAAAATCTTGTAAATGAAATTTACTACTTTTTGCATTCTGGCCAAACTACCTGAAATTTGCATTATTACAATTTTTATTATTCATTTCCGCTTTGATTTTTTTCTAATTTTTATCAAGGCATATTGATACAGTTTTCCATTAAAAATAATTGGATACCAGTTTTTAGAATGTGTAGTTTTGAGCATTTTACATCCTTTACTGGAATTCTACAAACTACATAGTATTTCTCAATAGTAATTTCTTATTCATAAGAGACCAAAATTTAATGTTAGTTAAACACATACCTTTTAAGCAATATTATTCTTCTGTAACTATAATCCACAAGATCAATTAAAGAATCTTCAGCAGATTCAATCATTTCCTCATGGAAAAGAATAGCTTCGAGAAGTGATACAATTGTAATTTCATGGTAAAGCTGGAAAAAACAGGGAAGTTAAAAACTACATCAGAAAGTATTTAACTTTGTCAGCTTGTTCTGATACAAAAATGCTGAAATTTTTTTTTCATAACGTTACTTAGTTGAATAGTTTACGAAATAGTACAGTGGTTCGTTGTCAGAGCGTTGAGTTATTGCTTAAAATAATGATGCGTTTTAAGCTGTAAAATACTGCCGAGTAAGAAAGTCATAAAATTACTTTTTTTTTATCTATAAAAGGGGTAAAAAAAATAATTTTTGTGAAAAATTATTAATTATATTCGACGAAAATTAGAACTTAAAACTGTGAATTTAAGTGCTCAGTTAAATTTAAACTTTTCCCTTCTACAAATAGTGTAAACATAGTTTCGAATGCTGTTATAATTACACATTAATATCTTGAAGTTACGCTCACATGGGACCCACGAAAAAAGCATGAGTCGCACGTAAGGTGAGGGTTCAACTGCATATAGAAACATATCAATTTATTTAAAGCAGGACCAAGGATCAAAGAAAAGTTTATTTAGATTAAAAGTATGCAATAAAATAGTATTAAAATAAATGTCCTACATAAAGCGGAGTTATAACATTGCCTATGATTTTATAAAGTTTAACAAACTCGTCTGATAATACAATACTTTGATAATACATACTTTGTCACGTAAAATTTCTTCAAGCAAATAATTTTTTTAAAAAATTTCTAAGCGTTGAATCTAGACCGCGTTTTTTCTTAGAATCGATATTCTTCAAAGTTTGTTATCCTTTTTTCAATTGGGCCAAGACTTTCTGTCAAACTTGCAATTGTCGTATGCGTTTCTGGTGGATCCTGAAGGGCAACTCGCATGAGTATTTCTGCATACACTAGAATAAAGTATACAAAAGCTTTTTAAGACAAAAATGCTTAAACTGTACACGTGTGGAAGTCCTTCTCCCTTAAAATTATCATTCTTTATATAACGATTATTTTAATACATTGATTGTTTTATACTGTATTGTTATGCATTATTAAATATTGTATATTATTATGTTAAAATGATAATTTCTACGTAATATAAAATGTATAGTTATATGATAATACAAATTGGCTTGTCGTTTTTAAAGTTTAGTATAAGTATAATTTTACTTACTACCATATACATAGGAATTACTGCAGTAGTTTTAATTTCTTTCTTCAAAATCAAGGGTAAAACTTTAAGTCTCCAAGTCTCCGTGACTATCAGCTCATGGATTAAAAGAGGTACCTAAGGAAAAAATTCGGAAATTGTATGCATAAAATACGGCAACAAAACAGAAGCATGATTAAACAGAAAACTTTTATTTTTCCCTTACGTTATATGAATGCATGTACTACACGCATAATATACATAGCGAAGGAGGCAGGAATAGAAATAAGTTCAAAGGAATCAGAACTTGCGTATAAACTGTATACATATTGCGTTACTTTTTATATTTTCAAAAATGATAATTAATGTACAAATAATTAAGGTATCTGCGAAAAAAAGGGGGGCCGTTCTATATCTCCCGTTCTACTGAGCCCATTGACGAAATTCAGCTTGCGTTTTTCAGTCTAATTTTATGTCAAACTATCATTGTTAGAACAATGCTATATATAAATCTAATATACATCCTAAGTCGCGCTTTCGAGACATGAAAAACGCAATTTGAATTTAATCAACCGGCCCAACAGAACGGAAGATATAAAAGATCTTTTTTTCGCAGTGTACATACGTATTAAATATTTAATATACAGTTATTAATTCAGCAAGAACAATTTATTAATGAACTAGCATTATTTTTGTTGACCGCCCGGTGGCGAAGTGGCTAGAGCGTCCCACATCTGCGTCACAGATCCGGGGTTCGATCCCCGGGATAGGCAAGCATTGTTCTAACATAAATCCCCGGGCAACCTTTAATCTCTTAAGTAGATCGATAAAATCAGTACCAAGTTCACTTGGGGACTAAGCATCGGGGTCCTGCGACAAGCTGACCACTTGTGTAGGGCATATGCTGATGCACTCCGCGGCCCAAAGGACAAGAAAGCAGAAAAAGGGCACTGCGGCCGTGGCCCACTAGGGCTGTTGCGCCACTAAGTTTAGTTTATTATTTTTATTACTTATATCTGTCTAATAAAATGATAAATTTTTATATACGAAGTTTTTACAAGAACTGAAAATATGTAACTTTTCTTTGAGAATTTAAAAAACTCAATAAATCTTATATGTGTAATATAGTAAGTATAATTTTATGCGCAAATCAATATGGGAAATATTTTAAATACACATTCTTTACAAGAACTAAGCTCTACGTTAAATTCATAGTAATGTTTTTCTTCAATAAATTACTTTCGTTTCAAAATAAAATGAAAAACAAAATTTAGTTATGTATTTACATTTTTTTATGTTGAAGGAAAGTTGATCATTTTGATGAAACTTTTGATGGAACGATCTTTATAAACTGAACCAACGAGTAAAGACATGCGAATTTCCGTATCCATATACTTTTCTCAGCTTCTAATATACAGGTACAGTACACATCTAGCACTATTAAATGTACTGAGCTTTCGGATATTTATCTACTAATACTGCATAGAACCCCATGTAAGTAACACAGTTCCAGAATAGCACGTCTAAAAGTAAAATGGTACTTATTCTTGCATCAGTTTGTGAGTAATGCGGAGTTAGAAATAACGGGCTTATATCTATCTAAACGTTCATAGAGATTCCATTAATAATGTATAATTTGTCGTTCTTAAAAGTTCAGTTTTACAGGAAAAAAGTAAAGACAAAACAACAGCTGTAAATTTCAGTAATGTTAAAAAAATACAACATATATATACAAATTATTTGCATTTTCAGCAACTGCCATAAAATCGCCCACCTCGCCATCGAGTAACTGCCGTAGATGACCACCTCGGAAAGTGAATTAATATATTTTACAACATAAGTGAATACGATATTGAATAAAAACTCTCTTAGGATGCTATCAGCTTTTACAGAAGAACTAGAAGCATTTGTGGCCGTCCTTAGGAAGGTTTCAATGTAATAATGTACAAAAGTATATTATGCAAATTTATTAACTTATATATGCATGCTTATTACGATAATGTATATTTACTTTCGGTGTACTATGCGTAATTTTGTACTTTTCCGTTTTGTTGCTTTTTAATTGCATAATCTGTGTACTGAATAAAACAGGCTTCGGAAATTCAACGCCCTATTTTTCGGAGTTCCACTTAGCATGTAAGATTTTCTTATATCGTACCTTAAGGAATTTCGGCAAAAGTATTTCAATTTCACAGTGAAATTAATTTCTACTGCTCGCAGCATTTACAACAACTCGCAGCAAAAATTGTACAGCCTGAGAACAAAAGCATAATATCCTGGTAAACACTTTGTGCTTGTAAATATTATGTAGTTACAATGCAATTTTAATTATAAAACTGCATTTTAAATATCTGGTTTTAATCAGTCATAGCATATTGAATACTCTTTTGTTATCAAGATCGGATTCAGAAATGTATGCATATATGGATGTATGTGTTCATGTATGGATGTATGTGTGCATTGTATGCATGTATATATGTACGTACGAATGTATATGTGTGTATACACGCACACATATAATACACACGTGCATTCATACATACATACATTTCTAAATCCAGTCCCGTTAACAGAAGAGTACTTCATATTATACTAAATGTCAATAAGAAGTAATTTTTTCCCATAATATTCGCTATATATTACTTTTTCCTCTTAAACTCAACATAATTACAAGCTATCTGAAATGTATAACATACTGTTGCGTGTGTACAGGTTCGTAATAGATTGAACGCACACAAAACCTGATAAAAGTTATTTTACCAAGAGAACAGAATTCACAGTTCTAGTACTTCCCACAAAAATAGTCGTACAGCTCTTTACAGTATCACAGAGTACAATCAGTAATTACACCTCAAACTAGTAAGAACGTTAAATACAACGCAATGAAAAGCGCATCTAAACAGCAAAGCTAACTCGAAGCTATTTCAATACTCCGAACTCATGCTGAATCAAACAACTACTCCGAAATTAATGCTCTCTCCGGTCTTATACAGTTTTTCCCCGGCCGCCAAGAAATCTAGTATTTCTCGAAATCACTTGGAAGGCATATGAGGGACGGATATGGATAGAACTAAATATAGCATTAGTTACAGTTATTCAGTTACAATACTCATTACAGTTATACAGGGACCGGACCAAAATTTCACCAAACCCGACGACTCCCACCAAACTTGGCGAAAACAAAACGGTCGTCAAAGCGAAAAAAAAAAAAAAAAAAAAAGAAACAGTCGGCCCTTCCCCAAAGCAAGGTGAAAAACAAAGTAAATTCTAATTAGAACAAATAGAATAATCTTAAATAAAGAGAATTCTATTTTATTAAAAGAATTGAAAACGAAAGTGAAAAAACAAAATGTTTACCTTTAAACAGATAATCCAATGAATTCAGATGTGAATGAATTCATAAAACATAGTTGAAAAAAACCCAATTAGAACACACAAAAAGTAAATAAGAACTTCGATCACTCTCATTAGACACCAGTCTAAACTATGAGATGAGAAAAAGTAATGGACGTACAGGTTTGCCATTTTGGCTTCACTGGCGAAACTAAAAAAAAAAAAAAACCTTGGCTAGAAAGTAATCGCTCAAAAGGCTAAAATTTTGTACGAAATATGTAATTTTGAAACCAAAAGGAAAACTTTTAAATATTTCAATGAAAATTTTTATTTTTTAGTCAAAGAAAGAGACTGCATATTAATTGAATGAAATTTAAGTAAATTCTTACTCTTGTAAAACAAAAATGAGAATAAATAAAATTATTTAGTGTAAAACTTTAATTAAATTTTAAAATCAATTAATCCTTAAAAACAGGCTCAAAAAGTTGCCTAAAAAGTGATCAAATAATTTTAAATAATTGTTTTGTAGAAATGAGTAAAAATTCTATAAAGCTGAATTTTAGTTTTTAAATTTTGTAATTTAATACTACAGAAAAAGTTGGAAAAGGAAGTAACGGAACTAAGTTAGAAAAATAAAAAGTCTTCACGTTATGCGCTTCTCATGACGAATATATATAAGGCCCTGATTAGTAATAGAAAAGTAATTAAGAAAAACCTATATACCCTTTTAACAAACATCCTTCTTTATTCTTCTCTTTTGGAGTTTTCAGATAAAATTTATACTTTTTAAAAAAGTATTAGGGTGTGACTACTCCAGATTCTTTAAATACTATTAATGAATTTAAAGGTTTTTTATTATCTTTTAAATTTTGAGAATTACAATTTCTTCTTTCTGTGTGGTGTTTTTTCAGTGGAAACATTTTTAATTCTACTAATTGGTTAAAATGGAATTTGCAATAACTTTTTATCTGTAGAATTCAATTATTAAGTTTATTAGTAGAAAAATTAAAATCTTTTCGTTATCAAAGTTTAATTTCCTTGTTTAATACTTAGATAAGATAACTATTCTGTTTGGTTTTAGTCCAAAAGGCTTTTGTCCCTGAAGGACTATTGTTTTCCATTTCGCGTTTTGCGTGAAAACTTTAAAGGCTGTATCACTTTTTCAAATCGTTGCCACCAAATACTTTCTCCTTGTTATATTTGAAAAATTAAAAATGAAGAATTCATAAATGTATGTTTTTCTCGCATTTGATAAACACGGTACCTAGAGCCATCCAATTTTGACTTACGTAATCCTTGGTATATGGGCATCTGAAAGCCAAATTTGAAATGTGGTTTTATTATTGATTTCATATTTTGGTACAACTTTAAAGAATTTTTAATTAACAACTCAACTTTTAAAGCAAGCAATGGGGAACTCTACGGTGGGAAAAAAAAAAAAAAAAAAACTTTTTATCTCCAGTGCGCGGACTGTGTATCGGAATTTTAAAGATATGCTCATTTTAAAATTATTTGCGACATTTTAAAATTTTTGTGCTGTTGAATGAATTTTATGGTTTAGTGCAGAACCTGATTTATAAATAAGATAGCACCCAAACGTTAAAACACGCCCCTTTGAGGTTAATTTTTAATCTGCCCCTTTCAGATTTTTTTTTTTTTTTTAGTTTTAGAGGTGGGTGCGTTTTGCTGTTTTTAAAATTGTTGACATAATATCTCATGTCTTATAGCAATTTACTGAAATCGTTATCAGAAAGGCTTTTAAGGAATTTAAATTCTTTAGAAAATAGAAATAGGTTATTTCAAATATGAGTGGAATATGAACTTCCCACTGGAACTCCTTATGTTTACAGGTAAAGAAAATTTGAATGTTTAATATAGTTATTATACAACGAAAAACGTTGAATCTTTTTCCATTTTTGTAAATCCAGTATAATAAGTATTTCAGGAAAAAATTCTGTCATTTCTGTAAGACTTTCGTAGATTTCTTTGAGTGGCAGGGTCGTGTAGAGGTTTTTAAAGTTATAGCAGTTCATATTGTAAATTTTAAGATTTTTAAAGTTTAACCAATTTTAAGTAGATTGGTAAAAATATTATCAAAATTCCTCTTGAAGTTTCTGGTACTATTAGCGATAAATCTAAATTTTACAGGATTTTTACAAATTTTGGTAAGGCATAAAGATTGGCAAATCTGTTATTTGTAGTGAAAAGAGAAATTCTCCACTTTTTGTGAAAGGCATAAATTTTGTTAATAACAGTTCTTTATTTTTGCAGATACTATAGGTAGTAAAATTTGTTAGTTCATTTTCAATTGTATATCATTGTAGAATATTTTTCATAAAATACTGAAATTATTGTTTGCTTTATCAATTTTAGTCATGGTAAATTGCTTTTTTAATTGTGAAAACTTAATAAGTAAATTTTGCCAGTTTATAATTCCTTTAAATCCTTGAATTTTCTCAATTTTCGTTTTGCTTTGAGTAATAATTTTATTTTTCCATTCTTGAAATAGATTTGAAGGCGAACTGAGTTGAGAACTAACTTTCAAGATGAAATTATAAATATCTGTAGAAATATTTTCTGTGCTATGTAATTTATTAATGAATTTAATAGGTCTAAACTTCGTTCTTTTTTCCATAAGCACTCTAATCTCTTGATCTTAAATAATGTCCAGATTTCTTGTTACAATATATTGTGCTCTTCGTCAACAAATGGCAGAAATTTTTCTTCATCACATAATCATGGTGCTGCAACATCTTTTTCATTATGGTTAGAAATAAAACTACTTAGTTTTTTGTTATACTTGAAGCAAACCGAAATTTTAGAATTTATTGCAGGAAATTTTTTTGTGCTATATATGAACTCATAACAATACATAAGGTGGCACATTTTGTGCGTATCAGCTTTAAATAAGAATTGAAAGACGGTAAGTGCTTGTAGTAACTTCATGTGATTGTAAAATAACAGTATGCATATACTGTTATTTTACTGATACTGATAATACAGATTACTGATAATAAAGACATCAGTGAATTTTGAAAACAATCTTCCTTTTACTTCAACGCATTGCTTTAGATGATGAGAGAAAAGTTCCATTACGTGTTTCAACATCCTCTTTGGAATAATATCGGAGTACAGCCACATTTGCTCTTGCCTTTGGAACCAAATTTTATCTTCCATTTATTTTGCCCACAATTCTGCAGATCTTCGCTCTTCCGCCCAAATATCCACTGAACATTTGTAACAGAGCCTGTTTCAACAAAGACTTCCATTACCGCAAATCGCAATCAAACCGGCCAATGATACATTGTATACTAATTGCGTGATTCTTAGCTCTCCAGGGATTTAAGTATGCTACACATGCGTATGTGCATTCTCTCAGGTTTGCCAACTCATAATGGTAGGCACATCGTGTACCACGCTATAGTTTATGGCACAGGATGGGGCTAAGACACTGTAAAAACGACCCTTTTTAGTTCGTGTTAATTTAATTAACACGAAATTAAATTCATTTATGTATATCTTACATTTTTAAGTATTTAGAAGCAGTTTTATATCTCTTTGTCTATATTTATTAAAATGTAATATTTTAAACCGTAAATCTAATGTATTTTTCAACTTTTATAAAAATTTAAAGAACGATTTTAATTTCATTTTGATATTGTGCTGTAGTTCTCTTAGTTTCAAAGTCTGATTTTTTCCTTGTGTATTTTTCTAATATAAAACTATGATGTTAAAATCAATTTTAGAGCAAGATTTAAAAACCTTACATTAAGTGTTTAAACAATTAAATTCAATATTTTAAAAAATAAAATCCAAAATAAAATAATATCCAGTTTAAAATTATGAGAAGTAACACAAAAAGTACGAACCCTCTGAAGAGTCACCAAATACTCTTTTACAACTTCTTCACCACTAGATTTGACATCAAGTAATGCTTGTACAGAAAGTTTATACATCCTTTCATGTTGCAAAAACCATCTAAAAGTAAAAGAAAACAATTTATTTACAAGACTTTCAGCTTGAAGTTATAATTTATCTACTCGATAATGAAAGAAAAATATTATAAATAAAGCGTCATTTCGTCGGTCTGTTCAGCGAATATTGCTTTCATACCGAAGAAGCAACGTCGACATATATGTGCGAAAAAGAACACTTAAGAGAAGAGAAAAGAGATTGAACTCTTCTGTGCAATTTTTTCTGGAGAGGAATGAGGGAAGGTAACGGAGGTTTCAAACTCACAGATTGGAAACTGCTGTGTTTTCTTCAAAGCTCAGATGGAGCTGTATGTAATACTAGTGGTGCTTAGTTATATAATTACTTCCTTACTAAAGCATCTAACGAGGTCAGACAACAAAACTGGCAATCTAAATACCTAAATTTGAAACGTGCCTCTTTTAAATAGCGCTGAAAATTTATGTGGTAACCGATTTAATAAAGAAGGGCCATTATATTAGTTTCAACGTCATTTTAACAAATTTTTGAGTCATACATGAAGAATTCAAAGAAAGTTACAGAAAAGCACATAGCTCCTTTTTGAAAATGAGCCTGAATGATAATGTTAGCGTAAAATGAGACTGGCTATTTTCAGAGTGTCAACATTCAAGATTTTGATGCCACTGGAGCAAAATTCTCAGACACAGATCATTACAGAGTGATAAAATTTTCAGGAAGTTAATTTGCGCTGCATATTCTTGAAATTCAGAGAGAAGTTAAGAACTCTTCTCTATTCCAAAAGCTACAAATTGTAATTAAGCATCAAATGCATTCTGAGGTTAATGAACCAGTTTACCTGCAGAATCAGTTAGAATTTTACTAACTTTTTTTTATTTACTTTCTGATTTTCCTATTTCGTTATCTACTCGTTAGAGGAAAATTATAGCTATTAAGGGAGGGAAATAAGTCCTGCATTTTTTTAAATGTGCTACCATTTAAAAAAACATTTAAATTTGGCTCACACATTCGTTAATATTTTAATTTGTACTACATATTCATAAATCTAAGCATTAGGATGTAATTAAGGGCCTACTTTGAAATTATTCTAAATTTGAGTTTAATATTGTAATTTCGGTTGACTTTCATGTCAGGAAATTTAAAAGAAATCAGAAGAGTTTTGAAACGTCTATTTACAATAAAACATACAAGTTATTTAGAAGTTTCCATGATAAAGTGGCCGTCATATATGCATTTGGAAACATTTGAGTTTTTGCACATTACTGATTGAATGGTTAAGTTTTCCAATTTGGTGATTAAACGCGACGACCGCTTAAACAAGAATATACCTTTACTTCCTAAATTCTTTTCCTAAAATGGCTTTAATGAAAATTTCTCTAAGAGAATCTCGTAACAGGTACACCTTATCTAGAGAAAGTCACGGAAAATTCTAAATAACCACTCCCTTTTGATATAAAATAAAAGAGGTTTTTTAAATAATTATTTTGGCTAAAATAAAGTCTATTTTACATTTATTAAAAGTAACAACTAAAAGTATGAAACTTCTAAAGAGTCACCAAATACTCATTTTATAACTTCTTCTCCACTAGATTTGACATCCAGTAATACACAGGAAATTAAGAAGAAAAGGTTTATTATTATAAGTTATTGGAAAAAAGGGAATTTTGCATAATTTACATTAATCAAAACTGCGTTTTCTCCTAGAATGTTTATAAGAACGTTGTCTAGACGGTATAATAATTAGCGAAGGGAGACTTAGTTCAAACTCCAGCTGTAGGTTCGACTCCCGAGTTAGGCTTGTTAGTTAGTTGGTTATATTTCTTCTCTTCTCGTGGGCGAAATATCGGTTTATAATCTATGGTGCAATCTTGGCAACTTCTTGGTGATAAGATGGCTAAAAGACCGATGAAACCATTCATAACCTCCTGAGCAAATGTCCAACTATATAATTCGGACGTCCATGCATACTGATTATTTCTTTTATTGCAGACACATATAACTTAATGCAAAAAGCGCATTCAAGAACTACACAAGTACCTTCAAGACCTACATATGTACATTTCTCGAAGGATTACTCCGGTACCATTAAGATTTACATTTGTATTTTCTTCGAAGAACTACATCAGTACATTAAATAATATATTTTTAAATGTCTTTGAATAAAGAAGGAGCAGCAGGCAGATGCATGCTGTAACGTGTTGAAAGCTGAACAGTGAGAAAGAGAATGCAACATGTTATAAGGTTTTCTCCTGCCTTCTTAGCAAGCCTTCGTGGTGTGGTGGTCTGCACGCTGGGCGCGTATTCCAGAGGTCAGTGGTTCGATTCTCGGCGAAGGCATTGCTCATTTTTCATTTTGCCTGCTTCCAAAAAAATATCTAATGTCTCTACAGTGTTTACGTTGAAGGCTTACACCATAATGCTTTAATTTTTGTTTAGCTTTATCCTTATTAGTGGATATTAAGTTTCAATTCCGTAATTTGAAATTATTTTTGGTTAAAGCGTTTTGAAAGCGACCACGACATTACCGTTATGCAAGAATCACATGACGCGGATTAATTTCGAAATGACATAGTTTAAAATGATTTACTACAAGCTGTTATTATTTTTAGGAGAGAAAGGGGAAATAATCAAACTGTTAATTAATCAACTCTTATTGTTAACAACTATACCAACAACATCTATGTTATTTCACATATATATATATGTATACACACACACGCAACAGAGAAAACAATTATTGACTTTTCGGAAGAACCAGAACCTGATATTTCAATGCAAAAAGGAAAATTCAAAAATTTCCTACAATGTTCCAAATGAAGTAGCTTATTGTTGATACAATTTCGCATATTTAAAAAATTTAATAAATCGTTACATAAAAACAAGAATTTTTACCGTCTTTAACAAGACACTAAGTTAGGTTAAAATTTAATGCATATGCAATTTTAAGGTGAAATTTTTAAATATTAATATAAATTATTTAACTAAAAAGAAAAATTTTTTAACGATTAAATTAAGCAAAATCCTTTCCAATCTATTTATTTTCAAGAAATTAATAGTAAATTAATAGGAATAATTAAGAATTTCTTGCATAAGTTAAAAAATGTGAAGGAAATTACAATTTGAAAATACGCAAAGTTAATCAAAAGTATTACTGCGTAAAATTGGAGGAATTTATCATGCAGGTAATTCACAGAGTGTTGTCTCTCCATAAGATATAAGATCTTTAATTTATTTCCTCTTCTTTTATGGGAGCGAAAAAATACTAAGTTTTCTGAGTATTACTATTAGCCATTCCGTGTGATCTCTGTTTTTCAAATTATAAATGCAATTGTTTAAACGTCTCAACGATTTTATAGAAATAAACATATTTCTTAATTAATAATATTGTGTTAAATTTCTAATAGTATGTCTAATTGATATAGTTTATAATCCTTATAATTTATAATACATCCAACTGATAATTTTTATGATATTTGCAATATTATTAAAATTAATAAATGGTGTTTCTAAGGCGATATATATATACTTGGATATAGATGTTTTTCAAGAAAAATTGCAATGAATAAACATTAAAATCACTTAAATATAATGAAAGTTTAGAATTACATTATTTGTTAGGAATTAGAATATTCCTATGTTGTGGTATACTTGATAGCATATAAGTTCAACAGTCTCATTGTTTAAAGTTCAAATGAAAGAGCCTACATGTTTTATTTTCTAAAAATAATTTGTCAAAGAACTCTATAATGGCGATGGAATTAAAATTAGTTGACATAAATTCATCCATGAAGCTGAAGATGTAGAGATATTGAAGTTTTTTGGCGCAAGAAAATACGAAAATATGATTTGAATCATGGATCTTTCAGGTACTAGCTGGATGTGTTACTACTTACAGCACGAAAGCACGTATGGCAGAATGCGATAATTTCCTATAACGGTAGCGAACTAACTCGTACTTACTAAAATTAGTCGAGTGGGAATACCGAATACTTTTAATTTCCCTTCAGTTGCCTTTACATGAGAGAGACTATAAAAAATTAAGGACATTGTTAATATTCCCTGTTAAAAATAAAATGATCATGCGACCAGATGACCGTGCGTTTGCAGGCGTCTGAATTCTTTTTCCCGAAAGGTCGTGCGATTAGTGTTTATAAAAACAAATATTTAAAAGTTTGAATGTAACGGATATTTTTGCTTACTAGTTCTATATTTCTTAAAACGCCATTGAAATACTAGTTTAATTTTTAAATCTTTTCTTGATTTTAAATCCTTTTTTGATTTTAAATCCTTTTTTGATATCCTATGGATTTAACAATTTGGGGATTGCCCATGACGAAAAGTCGGCAATAGAATTTTGGGTAAAGTGCAGAATCCCCCACTGCTTGACGCGTTTTTAAGAATTGCACATACTCAGTATCCATGTGCACATCGACCTATTTTCACTTAAAAAAAATCCTAGAATTGCACAAAATGGCACTGCCACACCCTTGACTTTATCTATGTACACATCGACCTATTTTCCACTTAAAAAGTAAAAGAAAATTGACAAAAATCCAATTGTTTTTACCCTTGTAAAAAGCGGCAAACAATAAGTGAGCGATTCTGCACTTTACAGAGAATATTTTCAAAGAAAAGGCATCATTCATTATAGAAATTACGTTTGAACAACCAACGAGATGAAATTATGCTTTAGCTATAAGTCGGTCCCGAATAGCGATGCAGGCATCCATTCAGTTTGTTTAGCAATTTTTATATAAATTATAATAATAATCTGAAATAGTATTTACTCTTATGCTTCCATTTAGTCATGTTTAGCCTTTCTCATATAAATTATAATAATAAAAAAGTATTATATGAAATTAACCTTTCATCTAAATTAAAACTTCAATCTTAGATAGTTATTTACTATTTATTATACTTCTTTTTTTTGCCGCAATTATTAGGGTTGCCGCAATTCTTTTTGGCAGCATTGGCATCAACGATAATTTGGCGAATTTTTCGGCCCTCGAAACCGAATAGTACTA